TCCCTATGGAGGGATACAGATACAGCAAGGAGGGCCTAGGCCCTCCCCCAGATGATACTTTGAAGGTCCCTGGTAGAGAACCTCATTATCCCTGGGGAGGAGTTGGAGGATGGGATGGCGGATAGTAGTGGGAAAATGGGTGGATGGGAGGGCAAGGGAATGGGGAAATGGATATGTAAATATGAGTAGTAATTAAAGAAAAAATTTTAAAAGGTATATGCAGTATCACAGTATTGGGACCCATATCCTAGAATACCTTCCCCAAGTGATGACAGAGGTTCCTGTTTCAGAGACAACAGTGAGTCTTGAACTGCCTGTGGCTTCTGACCTCAGAAGGAACTAAAGTCTGTGACTCACCACTCTCGTCTCTGTGTGTGTTGTTGTTTTGACTTGTTGGCTCTTTGGGGGGCGGACCACGCAGCTCCCAAATACATCACATGGAAAATTTTTCTTACTTATGAATGTCCTGCCTTAGCTTGGCTTATTTCTAGGTAGCTTTTCTTAACATAAATTATCCCCTCTACCTTCTGCCTCTGGGCTTTTATCTTTCTCTAGTTCTGTACACCTCTTTTTACTTCTTTCTCTGTGGATTGCTGTGTAGCTGGGAGGCTGACCCTTTGGGTCTTCCTCTCCCGCTTTTCTTGTTGCTTGATCTTGTCTTCCCAAATTTATCCTGCTATTTATTCTCTCTGCCTGCCAGCCCTGCCTATCCTTTCTCCTGCCTCACCATAGGCCATGCAGCTCTTTATCAGACCAATCAGGTGTTTTAGACAGGAAAAATAACATAGCCTCCCAGAGGGAAACAAATGCAATATAAAAGAAAACAACACATCTTTGCATGCATCAAACAAATGCTCCACAGCATAAACAAATGTGACACATCTTAAAAAAATATTACACAACAATGCATCCAAGTCATGTGTCATCAGCCAAGAAACATTTATGTTAGGAGCTTCAGGCATGTGTGCTCTCTCTCTGTCTGATGTATCCCATGTCCTCCAGCCAGAGAGATAGGATAGAAAGACCCATCTGAATCAATTGTGGTGGTTTGAATAGGTATAGCCCAAATAGACTCATGTGTTCCAATGGTTGGCCCATAGGGAGTAGCACTATTATGAGGTGTGGTCTTGTTGAAGAAGGTGTGCCCTTGTTGGAGGTAGGCTTTGAGTTCTTAGAAGCTCAAGTTGGGTTGGTGTGACTGAGTCTCCTCCTGCTGCCTGCAGACCAAGATGTAGAACTCTCAGCTCTCCCTCAGCACCATGTCTGCTCTGAAAGTATAGGCCAGCCCCAATTAAATGTTTTCCTTGACAAAAGTTGTCCTGGTCATGGTGTCTCTTCACAGCAACCGAAACCCTAACTAAGACAGTGCCAAAGCTGGTTTAGCTATGAACTGAAGTCTTTTTTGGCAAAGTTGTCTTCACTGTCTATGGACGCGTGTCCCTGGGAGACAGATAAAGTCGCACAAGACAGGCTTTCAGACTAGAGAGCATTGGGCATTAAAAGGAGACTCCTCACTGAGCCCTGCTAACATTTTAATAGCGCTTACAGCAATGGTCCTTCTTGAAACTGCCATGCTTGCCTGGACACACATGGCTTTGGGGCTGACCTGACTCAGGTCACAAGTGATGAATAAACCACAGAGACCTGGTCAGAAAGCTGGGATCTGTGGGATTTGATCTGAGGTTTGCTTCTTTCTTTCTGTTCTGCTTTATTTCTTACTTGACTTATTAAACAATTCCTTATGAGTTGGGACCATGTGCCTGCCCAGCCCTCTTACCTCTGACTCTTCATCTAACTGGATTGGAGGCTTCCCCCATTCTCGAGCATGGGTCAGGCATCACCTGAACAGTGTAAGGTTATACTGTGGTGTGCAATAGGCCCTGGGTCAACAGAGCAAGCTTCCTGTATGTTCCTGAGTCTCTGGCAGTGCTGATGAATTTTATTACATCACCAAGTGATTTGACTTGATTGACAAAAATATGTGCATTTGAGATTACTTTGCCAAAGGCCTATTTCTCATTGGATTCTGTTAATATAGGGAATCTCCCAATGAACATGCTATGTCACAAATGTAGGTGTGTATGTCTGTGTCTTTCTGCCATATCAGCATTTATTGCATAATAATGAATACATAATCCCATATCTGTTTCTGGGACTACAGTTATTTTTGGTAAGTGGCCACTTGCAAATATGGGTTCTTTTATTCCAATATTAATTACTAATTTTAACTCTCAGATCTTATATTACACATCACACAGTGCATATATATATATATATATATATATATATATATATATATATATATGTGTGGGTGTGGGTGTGTGTGATAAT